TAAGGGTCCGTGTGATATAGCCCTACAGGGCAGGGGGGCCCAAGACTCTTGGTTGATATTCAAGGATCACCTGCTACAAGCTCAGGAGTGTTGCATCCCAACTAGAAGGAAGTGCAGCAGGAGGGCCAGGAGACCTCCTTGGATGGATAAGGAACTGCTGAGGAAAATTCAAATGAAAAAAGAGGCTTATAAAAAGTGGAAGCAAGGACAGGCAGCCTGGGAAGAATACAGGGATGTTGTCTGGGAAGCTAAGGACCAGGTTAGGAAAGCTAAGGCCCAGTTAGAATTAAACTTGGCTAGGAATATTAAGGATAACAGGAAGGGATTCTACAGGTATGTAGCAAGTAAAAAACAGACTAGGGACAACGTAGGCCTCCTCAGGAAGCTCTCGGGTGAACTAGCTACACAGGATTTGGAGAAGGCTGAGGTTCTGAATGACTTCTTTGCCTTGGTTTCACTGGCAAAGGCTTTGACGGCACCACCCAAGTATTGGAAGGCAGACACAAGGACTGTGAGAATGAGGACCTTGGGCCCACTGTAGGAGAGGAACTGGTTCAAGACCATCTTAAAAATCTGAATGTGCACAAGTCCATGGGTCCTGATGAAATTCATCCGTGGTCCTGAAGGAGCTGGCAAATGAAGTTGCCAAGCCATTGTCCATCATACTTGAAAAATCATGGCAGTCAGGTGAAGTTCCTGACGACTGGAAAAAGGGAAATATAATCCCCATTTTCAAGAAGGGGAAAATGGATGACCCGGGGAATTACAGACCAGTCAGTCTCACCTCTGTCCCTGGCAAAAGCTTGGAGCAGATTCTCCTGGAAGGCATGCTAAGGCACATGGAAAACAACAAGGTGCTTGGTGACAGCCAGCATGGCTTCACTAAGGGGAAATCCTGCCTGACCAATTTGGTGGCCTTCTATGATGGGACTACAGAACTGGTGGATAAAGAACTGGCTGGATGGCCGCACACAAAGAGTTGTGGTCAATGGCTCGATGTCCAGCTGGAAACCACTAAGGAGTGGTGTCCCTCTGAGATCGGTGTTGGGACCGGTCTTGTTTAGCATCTTCATCACTGACACAGACAGTGGGATTGAGTACGCCCTCAGCAAGTTTGCCGATGACACCAAGCTGTGTGGTTCGGTTGATATGCTGGAGGGAAGGAATGACATCCAGAGGGACCTTGACACGCTTGTGAGGTGGGCTGATGCCAACCTCATGAAGTTTAACCATGCCAAGTGCAAGGTCCTACATCTAGGTCGGAGCAATCCCAGGCACAGCTACAGCTTGGGCAGAGAAGAGATTCAGAGCAGCCCTGCGGAGAAGGACTTGGGGGTGTTGGTTGATGAGAAAATGAACATGAGCCGGCTGCAGTGTGTGCTTGCAGCCCAGAAAGCCAGCCGTATCCTGGGCTGCATCAAAAGGGAGTGTGACCAGCAGGTCGAAGGAGGTGATCCTGCCCCTTTACTCTGCTCTTTTGAGACCTCAGTTGGGGTATTGTGTGCAGTTCTGGTGTCCTCAACATAAAAAGGACATGGAACTGTTGGAACAAGTCCAGAGGAGGGTAACGAGGATGATCAGGGCACTTGAGCCACCTCCTGTATGAAGATAGGCAGAGAAAGTTGGGGCTGTTCAGCCTGGAGAAGAGAAGGCTGCGTGGAGACCTCATAGCAGCCTTCCAGTATCTGAAGGGGGCCTACAGGGTGCTGGGGAGGGACTCACTATTAGGAACTGTAGTGATAGGACAAGGGGTAATGGGTTAAAACTTAAACGGGAAATTTAGATTGGCTATAAGGAGGAAATTCTTTCCTGTTAGGGTGGTGAGGCACTGGAATGGGTTGCCCAGGGAGGTTGTGAATGCTCCATCCCTGGCAGTGTTCAAGGCCAGGTTGGACGAAGCCTTGGGTGGCATGGTTTAGTGTGAGGTGTCCCTGCCCATGGCAGGGGGGTTGGAACTGAATAATCTTAAGGTCCTTTCCAACCCTTACTATTCTATGATTCTAAAACAGGGGAAGTTCAGGTTAAATATAAGGAAGAAGCTCTTTACTGTGAGGGTGGTGAGACACTGGAACAAGCTGCCAAAAGAAGTGGTGAATTCTCCATCCATAGCAGTGTTCAAAGACAGGCTGGACAGAGCTTCTGTCTGCTAGACCTTTGCAACATGGTTTAGTGTGAGGCATCCCTGCCCCTGATAGGGGGGTTGGAACTGGATGATCTTAATGGCCTTTTCAACCAAAACCACCCTATGATTCTAACTATTATCTTTAAATTCTGACCAGAGTCCACCTTACTGGGCCTTCAAATCATTGGTAATGTTGGTTAGTGGACTTGTCCTTGGGTAGACCCCTTCAGCACTCCACTTTACACCAGCCTCCAGGTATCATACAGTGCAGAAACCATTAGCCTGTGAGTCTGACCAGCCAACTGTTTCCCCCAAGTCTAGTTGTTCACCCTTTCTAAAAAGAGGGATTTTTTTCCTAATTCACTAATACTACATTTCTTGAAGTTCCCATGTCCTTTTTCTTGGTGTTCTTGTCATGAGAAACTTTGTCATTACCTTTCTCAAATTTACTCTTTCGTTCTCAGCTCCTTGTTTTTCAGTGCTGACATTATCATTCCTTTTTTTTTTTTTTTAATACTGCGGATTTTAGTTATTGCAGATGCTTTTGTCTACTCTCTGAAGCGTAGAGCAAGCGTATTAACATTTCTTAAAAGCAGATGGGGCTTTCTAGTTGCTTTAAAGCAGACTGCCTAGACCCACAATCTTACTGTTTCTAGCCCAGGTAGCTTGTTGTTCTTAATTATTTACCCTCTTCAGTTTGAAATGGTAGTTTGGATAGATATGCACGCTTGATGAGAGTATGTCTGGAACAGTTATGTCACCGTTCTTCATGTAAAATTCACATTAATGCACAGTTTTGTTGATGGTACTTCGGTGTCTGCTAGATGTTCCAGTTCTCATTTAAATTTCTTCGTTATGGTCTAATAACGTAATTTCCAATTCCTTTTTATGATTTTGTTCGTTTTAAAATAATTCCCATTTTATACTTCAGGTTTTATGATCTTTCCTTTTCTGCAGCTTCATGAAATTGAATTTCTGCTGTACAGTGCTAAACTAACAAGATTCCCATGTATATGCTGTAGGTAGTGCTGCTTTACTCCAAAAGGCTGTATTTTTATCTTTCTTCCCGGTACTGGCCGCAAACTATTCCCTTGCTTTACTATTCATGTGAATTGTACTTGTCTCATAGCAGCAAGAGGCTAAAATACCTCCTGATTTCAGGTTGTGTACTCTACTCTTAAGCATTTACCCTCACACAGAGAACTATGCTCTTCTGTGATGTGGGAACGTGTCTGTAGCTGTTTTACCAGTTGTCACACTTATGTGTTAACATCAACAACAACAGAACTAGTGGAATGAATACTTTTCAGCTAGACAGTTTTGAGTCCAGATGTTTTGACACACCCGGTTTTGAGAATCACATATATGGATTGAGGTACAAATAGGTTTCAGTATGTCTGGTATGCTGGGAATACATGGTTAAAAATCTGAGTTGTTTACAAAACTATAAATCAAAATTTTCTTACTTTCAAAGATTAGTTTTAAATGAAAATACAGTTTTGAATGTGGGTCACATTTACATGTTTTCAAATATGAAATCACCTTACACATTTAATTGTCTGTCTGTCTTCTGGATGTGATTACCACCTAATAGTTCATCAGTTTCTTGGTTCATTTGTGGTTTTGCTGAGGGCTGTGTCTGTACAGGCAAACAACCCAATTTTTGTAATCCTTGTTAGATGTCAATATGCAGATAATGGTTTTTGTCTGTATTTGTGACCTGTCAGCAACATCAAAGTACAAATGAGTAAACTTGACTCTTGGAGCAGGGAAGGGCAGGTAGGGGCAGAAGGGAAAGTGGCTGCTTGATCTTGGATTAGTTTGGTTTGGGGTTTTGGTTTTTTTTATTCCTTCAAAGACTGACTAAACCATGTTATCTTTATTGTGTTTCTCTCTCTTTCCAGTTTAATGTAGGGGATCATAGATTTTGTGTGTGATTATAATTTAGTTGCTTTGTTGTGTGGCTTATTGAGTATTGCAGTGTGGCCTGTTAGCTGGCTTCACGTGGAGTATTGCTAACTGTGTATCTGGATGTTTACATAAAATACTAAGTGCATATGGTGAATTTTCTTATGAAGAAAAGAGTATTTTGCTACCTGTGCAAGAAATTCTGCCCGAATGAAGTAATTAAATGAAGAGTGTGTAAATAATTAATGATCAAATATAATGTAAATCTTTTTGGCCAAAGAAACTACTGAAAATGTATGTTTAAACTGTATTTTAAAAGCAAACAATTAAACAGAAAACTTCCTTAGTGCCCTTAGAATCTTTTAACATGTGAGCCAAAGGAAATGCCTACCTTATGTTGTCATTGGAACAGCATCTATTTGAGGTCCCCCTAGGCCTCTTTTCTACCCTGCTAACTAGGCTATGCGTGTGCAGTGAAAGTCTCTTTTACATATAAAAGTTATTTTTCACAAGAAGTACTCTGCTTTTACAGCAGTTTCTGCCTGTGGTTAATAAGTTCCTTTGAAAATTCTTATTTTTCTCCAGAGATGTTGATAGATGTAACTTTTTTTTAATTCCTGCTTTATATGTTAAGGAAGAAGGGGTAGAAGCCATACTTACTCAGAATGACAAAGGAAGTCCGTAACAGAGCAGAACTCAGAACCTAGATACCCTGGCTGATATTCATCTGCTTACAGCCATTAAACGGTTCTTTTTCCCTTGGAAGATTTTCTGAAAATTGTGCTATAAAATGATACCATAGCAATGGGGTTAGAGATGTACATATGTTGCTAAGAAACTACATGATCTGTTCTGGACCAGCTACTGGGATAAAGTGGCTGTCTTAAGCTGTTGTGTATGGAAAAGGGCCACTTTAGGTGATGTGCATTTTGCTCCACCGATTTCTGACCTGCAATGCTTGCCTTTGCAGATGGAACATGAGGATTTTGTAATGGAGGGGCATGGCAAGACTCCACCTCCTGGTGAAGAAAACAAACAGTGAGTCACACGTTTATTTAAAAAGGGCCTTACCATAGTAAATGGTGTGAAGCACTCTTATTTAAATGTACTGGGAGCATTGGTCATTTGTTGGGTGCTCACCCTTTTGGTTCCTTAAATATCCATATGTAAAAGTGGATGGTGGCTGAGGAACAACAACAAAAAAATAAATAAAGCAGGATGTTGACTTGCATTAAATTTGAAAGCATAGAAATATGCATTTAAATTTCAGAAGTTTAATCAGAAGTTGTTGTAAAGGGAATAATTCTGGAAGCTTAGCACTGAGGTAATGAGTTTGTACATTCAGCTGCTCTTCACTGAAATAACGTGAAATACGATAGAACCAGGGCCTTCCTTTTGGTGTGTGTATGGTAGATCAGTCTTTTTTGGAGTATAAACCTTCTTTAGAATGCATTTCAATAAAGAAACTGGCGTTGTAAAGAAAATGCTTTTTCAAGGATGAGCAATTTAAGACGCTAGTACACAGTGCTTTAGGCAGAGAAGCTTGATCAGGGAAGAAAATGACAGGTTTTCATTAGCAAAAGGCTTTTTCATTACTTCAGGCTGAAATGCACTAATGGTTGGGACTTTTTCCTGTGTTTTTGTTCAGATGGGAAGAACAGAGTCTTGTCCTAGAAGTATTGTAGTGATGGTTGTCTTCCATATTCTTTTCTTTACTTAATGCAATGGTAATTCAATTTTGATGTCATAATAATTCTTTTTTTCCTGACATGCCTTTTGGAGCAAGCAGGAAGATGACCTTTGAGAAATCTACAGCACAGAACTTTTTCTCCTGTGCCTAGTTGGGTGTCTCCTCATGTACAGTTGTTGCAGAAGGGCTGGGGTTTGCCCTTGAGGTGAAGGTCTTCCTTGCCTTTTAGATAAGCTAGCAACTTTTAAGTCCACTGCCTCTGCAATGGTGAGAAACCATTTCTGAGGTAGCCAGAATGGGTTCAGGAAAGTTCTAGTGCTGAGCATGCACATTCTTTCCATCGTGGAAGTGAGCCAAACTTCTCGAAGTAATTGCTGCTATTTCTTTCTATTCAGACTGCCCAACTTACTGTGGCAGCAAGAGATACACAGCTTGTTGAATTAGAAACTTTCAGAAAGTTCCAGAAGAAAAAACAGGCAGAAATAAAAAGTGGGTGTTAGATTTCTGCTTTTCTGAATTGTTTCTTTAGATATCTAGTAGCATAATGCAACACGTTACTGGTATTGGATCTATAGCTTTGTGTTTGCTGTCTAATTTCAGGTGCAAGTGGAAGGTAGGATTATTGTACAGTTGACCTGATTTCTGATTAGAGCTTTTCAAGTGCCTTACATTACCTCTCTTCTTCAAAACTGTGGTTATTAGAGAATACGAGATTACTGATATGCAGGCTTTTTATTTTTTTTAACTAATAAATCTGTGTTCAGGTGGCATCTGAGATCTTGTCATACAGATCCTGCCCTAAGGAGTACCATTTCTAATAGTGTTAATCACATATTTATAGAAGTCTGAAAACGCAATTTTAGTAATGAAACTAAGAGGTGGAGATAAGTGTTTTGTGCAACTGTGGCATAATTCCAGCAAGATTCTATTGCAAGTATTGCTTTTAAATTTCAGTCAATCACCTGAATCTTTTTCTACCCCCAGTCTCAAATTTGCAACTACTTAACAACTCTGTCTGCCTTGGTAGAGCTTATCTCTTGCTGTAAGTGACGTTGATCTGGCATCCGAGATAAACAAATGATAATCACACAAAGGATTTGTATTCTTGAGTGACTCCAAAAAGCTGCATTGATTTCACATCTTTTGCTGTTGATCTCAAAAGAAAGGAAATTAAATAGGAAATTGCCCCTTCATATTATTGCTCACTTGCATTAGGGATTAGAGGGATTAGTTGGGCATTCTGGTGTGGGTCTGCTGAAGGGACACAGGAGAGACTGGAGTATCTGACATAGGAGGAGAAGCTGAGAGAGCTGGGACTGTTTTGCCTTGGGATGAGAAGACTTTGGCTTATTCATGTGTAGAGATCACAGTATCACAGTATCACAGTATGTTAGAGATTGGAAGGGACCTCAAAAGATCATCTAGTCCAATCCCCCTGCCGGAGCAGGAACACCTAGATAAGGTTACACAGGAACGTGTCCAGGCAGGTTTTGAATGTCTCCAGAGAAGGAGACTCCACAACCTCCCTGGGCAGCCTGTTCCAGTGTTCTGTCACCCTCACTGAGAAGTTTCTTCTCAAGTTTAAGTGGAACCTCTTGTGTTCCAGTTTGTACCCATTGCCCCTTGTCCTACCATTGTTTGCCACTGAGAAGAGCTTGGCTCCATCCTCGTGACACTCCCCCTTTATATATTTATATACACTAATAAGGTCACCCCTCAAATACCTGATGAGGGGACTCTGGAAGGCTGAGCCAAACTCTTCACAGCCATGTCTGGTCAAAAAGCAAGAGGCAGTGGGCAGAGACTGAAATACAGGGAATTCCACTCAGACCCAAGGGAAAAAAGGAAATTACTGTGAAATGTGGTCACACCTTTGGAAACAAGTTGCCCAAAAAGGTTGTGCCTTCATAATCCTTTAAAATATTTAAAACCCAGCTGGATACAACCCTAAGCAGCCTGCTGTAGTTAACCACGCTTTGAGCAAAGGGCTGGGATTAATGATCTCGGGTATCTCTTCCCTGTGCAGTGAGTCAGTGTTCAAGGCCAGGTTGGACATAGCCTTGGGCAACATCGTCTAGTGGGAGCTGTCCCTCCCCATGGCAGGGGGGCTGGACCTAGATGATCTTAAGGCCCCTTCCAACCCCGACTATTCTGTGTACCTGTGTTCACTGTTGTCCTCCTAGTTGGTTTGAAATAAAATTGGAGCTTGTTAGTGAAAAGTAGATCATAAGTTTTAATGTAGAATCAGGCGTTTCCTTCAGAAATAGCTGCACTAGCTAAAGATGCTTCCTTCGCTTTCCAGCTGTTCATCAGACTTTCTTAAGATTACTGCCTCTACAGCTATGCAGATGTTTTGGGGAAATTTCCCTCCACCCCCCCTTGAGTTCTAAGTTGCTTTCCTGAAAAGTTGACCATGTTAACATAAATGATTTAACAGACAGCCTGTTCTGAGTAACTATTATTTCGATCCTTGAGGGAGGGGTTTCAGCGACTGACCTGCAAGCAAGGTGCTGGGAGCAGTCTGCAAGTGTTACCCTCCTAGGCAAGCCCAGCAATTTCTTAATATTTAACTGCATTCCAAAAGACTCAGAGTTTGAGCGGACATTGAAAGAACAGAAATAAAGATACTTCTGAGAGACTTTCAGTGAAAGCAGTAGTTCTTACCTAGCACCAGTTTCATGTGGAATTTCCTTTCCTGAAGTACAGCTTCATAACGGATTATAAGAAGCCACCACCCATGGATGACTTCTAGCAATTTATTTCCAAAATGCAACAGTTTTTCAACTCAGTTTGACTCAGGGATAAAAACTTGGCATTGCAAGAGTGCCTTCTAGTATTAAAAACCAACCAACCCTGCTTCCATCTCTCAAACCTTGCTTTTGTTGCACTGAATAGTTCTTTCAGGCAGACTTAATGCACTAAACTTGCAGCTTTTTTAAGATTAATTTTTTTTTTTATTGAGCTGTAGATGATACCCAAGAACTGCTATTTGCTTGTATCTGTTAGATTAGTGGGAACTCTCCTGTTAGACTATTGTGTCTTTAGACATTTTTAACAAATCATTTACAACATGAATATAACTGATTTCAGTCAAAACTATTTATGAAGAAGAAAAGTTACACGTGCAAAACCCTTAGTTATGAGTGAAAAATAGAATGGGCATACCCATCTTGAGTTCTGTGAAAGATACAGTTTATGCATGGTGCCTGTGTAACAGATCTTGCATGATATGTGCAGCAGTGAGGGCTGCCACTTACTCTAAAACCCACACTTCAAAAGAAGTGAGTGTGCATGGACTACAGGGGCTGATAATGTCTGTATTGGACCATGCTTCTACTCCAGCAGAGGATCCTGGCTCCTTGAGAAGTTGTTGCTTCTCAGTACTCTGTAAATGCCTCCCTCCTCTCAGCTCATTAGTACGTGATGTAACTGTTACACTTGGCTGCATTACTTTGTCATGTGGCTAATACCTGCTAAGAAACCCCTTTCCATCTCTCCCAAAAGAAAAGTTTGGAGAAGGATCAGCATCATTACGTTTAATTGCAGGTGGACATTTTGTTAGAGGCGTTCTCTTGCATTTTCATCCATTACGAATACTGACCTGAACTTGCCATATTTAAGAAGTAAATATTATCTCTCCACGAAATACTTACATTTTACATGGCAGTAGCTTCTTTTTGCCTTACCAGCTGTAATAAGGCTTTTGCTTATCACTCACTAGAGAAAAGATTAACAAGCAACTTTGATCCAGAAGTATCTTTCCAAAACTGTCAAACTTACGTTTACAAGCAGAGAGCAGCTTCTCTTTGTACCTTTTTTGGAGTAGGAAATCCCTACTCAGGTCCTTTAACTGAGATTGTGTTCCTGGTTCTAGCAGTATTAATTAGTAGCTCTGCCTCTGCTGATAAATTATTCCCAGTTGTCACCACCAGAAACTAATGTAATCTGTTAGTGAAAGGGATTGTGTAATGAAAAATTACTCCTTTCTATAAGAAAAATATAAATGTTTTACCATTTCTGAATAACACACTGGAAAGCCTGTTTGACAGTAGCTGTTTGGACAAGAAGTGAGTCAAGTTCATGCTCATGTTTACTAGCAAGGTAAGCCAAGCTATTACTGCTGTCTGAAGCAACTCAGCTGGCTATTCCCCACCTGCTGTTTTGTAGTAATGGGAGAGAAAAGTCTTCAGCTATCTTGGCACTTTGTACACCTGGAAGTGCTTTATACTGTAAGAAAGAGAGCAAAACAAGATCTTTCCGTAATTTACAAAGTGTCATTGATTAGACCTACTGGATAGCCTTTTTCTTGGCTTGATAATTTAATGTATAGATGCAGAGGCAATGAGAC